ATGATAACGAATATTTTACATTAGCCAAATGGATTTTGCTATTTATTAAATTTTTTTATTTAACTTTTTAATCACATGCATTTGTGCAATATTACAAAATCTTAAAAATAAAGCATAAGTGATACGTCTTACATAATTGCTTAATTTTAGAAATATATTGCAGAGAAATCATATGAAATTAAAACATAATAATAACAAAACGGTAAGATAAGATTTGAATTATATGCACCTATATGCACATATAAGTATGTACTCCTATATGATTTCCTGGGTGTCAAGGATGCTTGCCAGTTCAGGAATCCACCAAGCGGGGAAATTGTGAAGGTGACTTTGCTTATCTGACATCTTTGTCACCCATGCGATGTTTAAAGCCGGGGGTCACACTTAAATGCTGACACTAATTTGCGCAATCTGAAAAGTATTTAAGGGTGCATTTACAAGTAATACAATACATACTTAATATATTTAAACAAAAATTGAAGTGCATACCAACGGACTTTTATTAAAATCTGTGTGCTATCCAAATTAAATTATTGTGTGCTCCTTATGCTTCTATAAGAAATATTTTCTGTTGTTTTTTTTTGTATGATAAATTTTTTCGAAAACACAAATTTCTTTTGGGCGAGGTGCGTATTGCTCTCCTATCAATCAAAAAGAATACTCTTGGATTTATCGCTTAGGAGACATCACTTTTTGCTCCTAAGCGAGTAATAACGGAGTACAAAACCGACAAATCTCGCTTATTGCTCCCAAATCATGCCTCAGGGAGCATTCTTTAATTGCTCGCTTAGGAGATCTCTCATTAAGCTCCTAAGCGAGCAATACAGGAGTACAAAACCGAGAAATCTCGTTTACTGCTCCCAAATCATGCCTCAGGGAGCAATATTTCGTCGCTCGCTTAGGAGATCTCTTATTTGACTCCTAAACGAGTAATAAAGGAGTACAAAACCGACAAATCTCTCTTATTGCTCAGAAATCAGGTTAAGGGGAGTACTCTTTTATTCCTCACATAGGGAGATCTCCCTTCAAGTTCTAGTGGGCGTTTAACCATGTACATATGTATGTATGTGTAGTAACCAAAGACAATAGGTTTGTTCGTCGAGCAAAAAATTTTTACGAATTTGTACGAATTATCACGATTTTTGCCCAAATCGCGTTCGTGCAGACCAAAAAATTATCCAACACTCAAAAATTGTGAGAACAAAGTGACAGTTCTCTTGGAGAGAAGTTGCAAATTCTTGCTGGAAAAAATTTTGCCAGCAAGAATTTGCAAACACGAAAAACATGTGGTTGTGGCGCATGGTTGCATTTTTGTCTACAATAATTTGAATAAATTAGTTCGTTAAATTTAAAAATTTATAAACACGAGCGATTTTTTTATGAAAAAAGGAAGTAAATAATTGTTGATATAATTAATTTAGTTAATTCCAATGATTTGAACTTAATTCGGCTGAAAAAAATGGTATTCGCAATCGGAATGCAATTGCAACCAGAGTCGATTTAAGAAACCGGACAGCTAGTACGAAGAAGAAATTGAAATGTATGTTAA